ACATGTGTATCTAGTTGCAGGAACAGGACCTAACACCTTAAAGTAAGCAAGCATTTGCTTTTTCATCTTTAAATTTGTTCATCTTTAATCTGTCTTAAAATTCTACTTTCCAACCTTATGCACTTTATCAAAAAGAGATCTGCCATGGTTTATACATAAAGATCTGCTTCCACCCTTGCGTGTGTTCATAGAGTCGGTGGACATGTGTATCTAGTTGCAGGAACAGGACCTAACACCTTAAAGTAAGCAAGCATTTGCTTTTTCATCTTTAAATTTGTTCATCTTTAATCTGTCTTAAAATTCTACTTTCCAACCTTATGCACTTTATCAAAAAGAGATCTGCCATGGTTTATACATAAAGATCTGCTTCCACCCTTGCGTGTGTTCATAGAGTCGGTGGAAGCAGCATACACATCCAAGGCACATTTTGACCCAATATTTGGGTTTTATCTTCAGCAGAAGATTTGGTCAACTCATGGTAGTTACTGAGAACCCTCAAGGATATGAATCTATTAGCCTGGATAGCAAGGGCATTAGGATATTAACAGACCTAATCTTCTAGTGAAGACAAGCAGCTGGCATACTTTAAAGCTTATATCTATTCCACCATCCCAAATTACTGACATTTGGGATTTGCTCATGTTAATAATTTAACTACTTGGACCCCCACATCATTTCCATGTTGTGGGCTGGCATGTCCTATGTATGATTGTCTCAAGGTATACAGCATATTGACGGATTATATACACATTTTAAATTGTACAAAACAAAGTCACATCCTAACAAATAATAAATATTGATCAGAGTGCAGTATTGAACTAAAATAAATTAGAAAGAACCATTAGGTATTGACTTTCTTCTCTCATTTGGGGCTTGGGCCATAGACTATTAATGTCAACTGAAGTCTTTCCATTAGCTTTCAAGGGCTTTGGCTTGGGCCCTCTACTAGATAAAAACTATTTGAAAGGCAGGAGTTTAGTTAGCCTAAAAGTTGCTTATTGGCTATACGATCAAACAATGAAACTTGCCTTAAAAAGGCGGTATTGTCAGTAAAGATGACTAGAGCAACATTTTATATTGCATTTATTATGCAGGAAAAAAGTTCTTGCTGATTGTCTTCATCATTTAATTCAGGCACAAGGAAATAAGCATACAGTTGTGCATAAAACTGTTAACTACCAGCATACCACATATTCCCAAGACAAATATACGTTAGTGCGCAGTTTTCAAAATGTCACTTATTAGCTAAATTTGTATAGGTGTGATGATGATTCAAACTATGCACTTAATAAAACTTCTTTCACTTCAGCTAAGCTCGCCAGCAAATTGTTAACGGGCTATTGACAAAAAGTAGCCTTTTTTTTATATTATTTTTAAAAAAGGCTGACACAAAACTCTCAAGATAGGTGTAAAACAAAACCCCAGCTCCAGATACACCCAGAACATTAAGAACTGTGGCATTTCAGGATTAAAAAAATATTTATTTATAAAAGGAAGAGCAGTGGATACTGCTATATGAGAATTGCACTCATAAGGTAGATATGCTGCTAATGATATGCTGTCATACTGGAAGAAGTATAGTTCAGTTGCTTTACATAAAAAGCAGTGCAGTTTTTTTGTTTGTAATTCACTTTGTCTCTTTTTTCCCCCCACCTCAAGACTTCACTGTGGATTCAGTATTAAAAGTAACTAAATAGCTAGAAAGTCTTTATCTTAAACAAAAGGCTGGGTTTACATGGAAGGTGGTGTGACAGGAGTCCATGTGGATGCCAGCCTAGCGTGGGCAGCGGTATCATACTGGCTGTCAGAAATGTCTGTGGGTGTGCCTGTGTCATACAGCGGAGATCCCGAGGAGGAGGCAGTGACAGAGTGAGGAAGGGGTGGGTAGTGCGCAGTAGAGCCTCGCAAAAACTGGGAGCTCAGTCCATTGGCCATCCCACCTGACTGAGACACGGGTGTGATAGTGCTGTTATTCACAGACCACAAGTTGGGATACTGACTGCAAGAAAGAAGAAGGATAGATAATACGGACCATTAATTAACCCAGTTTTTCCACAGTCAGCAATGCAGTTTTATGCCTCAAAAAGCACATTCTAGGTGTTCTGATTCAGATACTTTAAGCATAGTGATAAACTTAAGGAAGGTTTGTGCTACTTCAGTACACTAGCGAAATCTCAGGCACTTAGACTGTGGATCACACTGATATGCTGCAGCCGGCATGCCGTGAGGATAAGGATCTAACCAAATCTTCCCAGCTCTCACTTTATAACTCTATTCCCCCCACCACACACCTATTAAAAAGTTCTTTACCTAGGACCAGAAATAAAAAAGTTGATGGGTGAGAAAAATTTAAAACGAGGAAAAATTTAGCTTTTCCATTTATTATTTAGCACTTACACAGCAATTTTCACCTGTAGATCCCAAAACACTTTACATTATCTCTTGTTATTCCCATTTTACAAATGGGCCACCAAGGGTGAAGTGATTTGTCCAAGGTTACATGGTAATTCAATAGCAGAATGAAGAAGACAACCCAGGTCTCTCGACTCTCAATCCAGTGCTCTAGACTTTGCTGTCTTCCAAATGCAAAGACTTTTTTTGGGAGGGAGAAGAAGTGCTCGGGAGTATTGCTATTTCAATAGATTTATGTTCAGTAAAAATAAGTATCTTGTATTAGTAATATATACTATATATTTTAATAGATAAATGTTAACTTGTATATTTAATAAATAAGTGCATTTTCCACAACTCATATATATTAGCAGGATATTTAGGCTCCAGCTCTGAACTGCAAATTGTTTGAAAAAAATAGAGGGCCCAACCCCTGATCCCACTTAAGTCAATAGCAAAATGCCATCCAACTCCTCAGTAACTTCTAATTTAGGTGTCTAGGGATTGAGTACACATTCAACATCAGATAACTTTTTTCAATACGTCTGGCAATGTTTTATTAAAATAATAATAAGTCTAAAAAACTGATATAGGACATAGGTCCATGACCTGAGGATGGTTTTCTTTGAGCTCTCTTAAAAGCAACAAACAAGGGCTATTGTTTAAAGAGATACTGTTTACTTGATCTCTGATACTTATCTGAGTGCTATTTTACTTACTGTTATTTACTGTTACTACCAATAACACTAAAGATTTGCAGAACTGAAAGACAGGAAAACAATTGTTCCTTATTTTTCCATGAATTTGCTTTGTGTATTTGGCAGCACTAATCAGTTTCATTGTTTCTCCTGTTTTGTCAATCATTTTCAGTATTTATAAGGAATTTTTATATCAACATGGAGGACAAAAAAAGCACTAAAAAAGGAAAATATGACAATAAAGTCATGAACAGGCAGAGAGACTTAGACCCGGTCTACTCCTAAAATTTAGGTAATATATCACTCAGGGTATGTCTATACTGGAGAACTATTTTGGGATACCAGAGATATTCCGAAATAGCTACCCAGTGTCTACACAAGCTGCCCGTTATTTTGAAATATTTTTCAAAATAACAGGCGCACTATTTGGCATTCTGGTAACCCTCATTCCATGAGGGTTAAAGGATGTCTTGAAATAGCACACTATTTCGAAATTTGGGATTATGTAGATGCACCAAATTTCAAATTTCAAAATAAATTTGAAATAAGATATGCAATTTGCATAGCGCAAATTGCGTATCTTATTTTGAGTTTAGGGTGCTGTGTAAACACACCTTCAGGGGTGTAAAAAATTCACACTCTTGACAGACGTAGTTAAGCAGACAAAAGCTCCAATATAGAAACCACTAGGTTAACAGAAGAATTATTCTGTTGGCCTAGCTACTGTCTCTCAGGCAGATGGGTTTACTATAGTAATGGGAAAACCCCTTCCATCACTGTAGTGAGAGTCTATACATTAGCCCTTGTAGTGCAGACATAGCATCAAAGACAAGTGTAGTACCTAAACTCTTTGCTTTAAAATTAACTAGATTGCAAGCTGACACTGAAAAAAAAAGGAGAGAACCACTCACTTAAACCCTCCTCCCTCCCCCAATATATTGTAATTTGTGAAGATTTGGGGGCTGCATTGCAAAGGGACTGAATCCTACCTGGAGCTGGTAGATGTGCCAGTGCTGTGACTCATAGGCAGCATACTAGCGTGGGGGGGAACTCCTAGACTGGACCAGTTGTCATGGGATTGGAGCATGGAAAGGCAGGCTGAGGAATTATCAGCATAGGCTGCTGTGAAAAAAAAAAAAACCAAGCACTTAAACAGATAAGCAGTTAAAGTGAAGCACAGTTCTCATTTTCAATTCAGAATAAAGGCAGTAATGACACATATTTACCCGTTGGGTCAATCTGTCTATTTTATTGGGGCTGATGAGTGGCTGGTGGGCCAGCCTGCTATACAAGGTGCCCAAAGTTCAATTGAGAGTATATTTCACTTCCTACCTCAAGTAATTCCTTGCTGCAAAATGCTCCGTCTCTGATGGGAGTGAATTATGTAGCTCTGTGGTAACTATGGGGTTGAACTAGCAGAGGCTATGCCAGCTCGCCCTTCACAACCAGAGAAGGTGACTGTGTGGTATGAATTTAACTGGAGGAGAAAAATCCATAATGGGGGTTGGGGGAAGAAGCAGGGCACACAGAAAAGTCAATTATTTTTATGGTGTATTTTATTTTAATTTGCAAAACCTATGCAAAGGTTTAAGAGGCAACAAAAATCAACTACATGCAACTGTTCAACTTTAACACGCTTGATAGAGTTACGTATTGTAAGCAGTGTCTGTGTCTAGAACAATTTGATAACCACTATGCCATCTAGCTTCATAATATTTTATAAAATGTAAAATATTAAGCTTTTATAAAAAAGGAAGACCATTCAGTAGCCATTATTGGTCAGGACAGAAAACCCCAGAGCAAGTCTTAGGTGCATAGTCAGTTAAATATCCCTTTCTTTCTTCTCATTGAAGAGCAGTTGGATAGACATACTGTACCCAGTTCTGCCATCCTTACTTATTTTGAAGAGTACTTTATTGCACATGTAGTTTTGCTGGTTTCCAGGGGACTATACACTAATTAAGATGTTCTTCAATGTGAGTAATGGTGGCAGAATAGGCTCTCATTTATTTACTTACATAAATTAATGCCACTTGACTCAACTACCTAACTAGAATTCTATTTCTTCAATTCATGGCCATATCTTTAAGATGCTTCTTCCTCAAATTCTTTATATACAGGCAGTCCCCGGGTTACGTACAAGATAGGGACTGTAGGTTTGTTCTTAAGTTGAATTTGTATGTAAGTCGGAACTGGTACATACTGTAGGGGAAACTCTAGCCAAACATTTCTCCAGAGCTCAGTTTTATTCTCCCACACCTCACTTCCCTCAGTCCTTTATTCTCAAGCTGAGGTGTCTGCTGAGAAAAGCCGCTCCGCGTCTCCCTGGTCTGTTGGGGGGGGGGGCGCTAGCTTCGCGTCTCCCTGGTCTGCTGGGGGGAAGCAGCTAGTGCGGGGTTGCCTCACCCCGTTTGTAAGTAGGGATCCGATGTAAGTCGGATCCATGTAACCCGGGGACTGCCTGTACATACATATCCTCGTCACTTAAACCAAAGGTCCCCAAACTTCTTCTATCAAGCCCATCCTCTTCAGTAACAGAATAAGTCTGCGCCCATCCTAGCCCATGAGCAGAGTCACAGCCAGGAGCGAAGAACAGGAGTTGGCAGCTAGGAGCAGGGGCCACAGGAGGGGCCAGAATCTGGGCTCGGTGGCACTCCCTCCCCAACTTCTTGTGAGGGCTGGCACAGGCCCAACCGTGGCCCCCCAGACATTCTTCCATGACCCCCCCATAGCAGCACGCCCCACAGTTTGTCAATTGACAAACACTGCCCGAGTAAACTAAGCTATTCTAGGCTAAAAGTCATTAAACTATCCTTCATGTCAAGATTCCTGTTCCACAGCAGGACACAGGGACAGTGTTAGCACAATACTGTCTAAAAGCCTAACATTGGATAGAGTATTACGCAGTCTTACCTTTTCATTATTAAGATATTACAAAAATGTATTTACTTTTTGTTATGGCCTTTCAGTCACTGTCACCAGCTCTCAGCACAAACTGGGTTAGATATTAATCTCAGTTCCAATGAATTACTCCAGATTTACACGGAAGCAATTGATCAGAATATAGACTACAAGTTTAATTTCCCTCTTTAAATAGCCGCAGAGTAATAAAGACTTACTTGGGGAATTGTTTCTATGGACATATGGATTGGGGTAAGGGGCAGAACGGTGATTCCTTAGAGATGAGAACCTTTCACAGCTGTGAGCAGAAGACAGAGATAGAGGTGCTCCAAACTGAGTGTGCGGATTGGCAGGGGGGCACAGAGTACCAGTTCCAGGAATAAGCCAACCACCTACTGTGAGAAAGAGAGGACATTTCATCACATGGATACATAATGTCACAGGATAATCTGTGAATATTATGGTCCCTTTGAACACTAAAACTCAGAAGTTAGGGCTGGTCACAAATTTACCAAACAACGTTTTTCCAACAGAAAATACAAATTGTCAAAAGTAAATATTTGGAGGAAACATGCCGCCTTCTACAAAAATTCATTTTGCAAGAAAAATTGAGTACAAAAAAGGCAATTTTATAAGGGCAAATAACCACCTTTTCTCCCAGCACTGTTGAATGACATTCGGTATGGCATCTCCTTGCCCTTTACAATAGATGCTGTATAATAATTTACATTTTTAAAAAATATTTTACCTGTATTACTAATTACATCTTAGATTATTAGACCTGAAATATCTTAAAACTTTGCGTTGTTTATGTTATCTGCCTACTTAATGCATATCACTCACTTATTGGACAGTAAAACCAGAACGATTAATTTAATCTTTTGTTTACAGTTTCTCTTTTTGGTTTTGTGCTTGGGAGTCCAATACTGATATGGGATGCTTTAATCCAAAAGAAAATGTTTTTTTTTATAATTCTATTCTCATTACAACTTGTAAAAGCCTTTTATTCAAGTTGTGTCCCTAAATGTTTTGACAATGTCATTTTAGAACAAAATTGAATTTAAAATTCTAAGACATTTTAGCCATCTTGAAACAAAACAATTTTAAAATTGGTGCCTCCAATTTTTAGTGTGCTTTAAAAATAAATTAAATCAACCAGTGAGGTTTTTTTTTTTTTTTTTTGGTCTACATTAAAGCATAGCTGCAGCAGCTCTTTTAAAGTATGGCCATGGCACGAGCACTGGGGAGAGAGAAATCTCTCAGCACCCTATGTAAACCATCTCCACAAGAGGAGTAGGTAATAGCACTAGGAGCGTGGCTCCCGGCACTGTAGCCTGGTTCACATTAGTGCTTTAGAGCACTGTAACTTGCTTTGTTTGAGGAGGGGTGTTTTTTCAGACCCTTAAGCCAAAAAGTTACAGCACTATAAAGAGCCAGTGTAGACTTGGCCTTTGACTGGAAGGGACTTGGAGAAGTCTTCTAGTCCAGTCCCCTACACTCAAGGCAGGACTAAGTATGATCTTCTAGAAGATCATACTTAAGCTATAGCGAGAGTTAACATATGCCCGCAAACAACACTAGTGTCTAAATTTTACTCAGCTACAACATATCACTAAATTGTATTGAAAGGAAATACAAGAGAAGCTGAGAAGAAAGAGAAAGTATTTTTAAGTTATATACTTGAGTGAAATTAAACATACATTGTGAATACCCAGACTGCTGATTGTCTCCAACTTCATCCATCATATCTTTGTGATCACTTCTGTCAAATAAGTCACATTTTATTAAAGAAAAGTATTTGAAAGAAATGTGCTTTCACAAATATGTAATTTTTCTGCAAACTTTGTTAACGGTGTTTAGTGAAGAATTCTCACCTTTCTTTTGCATCAAGGAAAGCCTTTGCAAATGGATTGTATTTAATTTTTAAAGCTGTGATCTAAAAACAACAACAAAAACCTTATTTTGCAAGTGTTACTACTCATTATCACACAAAATTTAGGATCGGACCCTGCTTCTCTAAAGTTAGTGGGATTGTACCATTGATTTCAGTAGCAGTAGGATTAAGGCCATAGCATGGACTTGTGTAAAGTAACTAAACAGCATCTGAACATCTCAAAATGTTATCAGTAGACATTAATTATTCTGACTACAAAATTTAAAGATATCCAGTCACTGCCTAAATTGCCTGGTTTTATTATCCTATTAAGGAAACACATAACCAATAATAGTTAGATTGACTAGAATGAACAACAAAACTCAAAAAAGATAATAAGATCAGTTACTTAGAGTTTAAATGTGAGTTATCTGAAAATTAGTCAGTTTTAAAAATGACATTTCCAATTAATATATTATTATTTCATATCCTTTAGAATGGTGAATTTATTCTTACTGATTTTCTAACACCAGTAGTTAACTTTGATAAATTCCAAAGAATCTTTATACTTATACTTCTAACAAAGAAAGTAACAATATATAGGAAACGGGGAGTTAGTGTTACAGTATTTCTACTGGATTTTATATTTAAATTTCAATCAAACTCACTTCATATGCAATTTAAAATGAAACACAGAGAACTGAAAAAAATGTTACATAAACATTTTGCTCTAGTATCTTTTGCTTTGCTAATTCAGAGCATGTAATCATATGTAGGTTTCTTTCCCACTTTGGGCATACCTCCTCATTCTGATATGCTGTCACAGCTATAAACTGGGTCTCTGGGAAGGAATGGCTGGTTATCATACGCTGAGGGCCACCAACTCTCACTATATGAATCCTAGGCTCATACTTGTGCAAGGAGTTCAACATGATCTGTAAATATATGGTAGCACAGAGAAGCATTGTCACAGTGGAATGCACATACCTACAGTTATCAAGCACTTTTTTATTTTAAAAAGTTAACTTTTGATATTTCTAGTGGGGGAGAGGGAAGTCCAGGGACACTAGTAAATTCTAAAAGTGTAGCCTGACAAAAGATGATAAAAGTAAGGCATCTAAATTATCTGCCTAAATATTATATTTGGCAGGGCTGACTATTTCTATAAAGATACTGCCATAGACAGATAGGCAGATATGCACTTTGGCTCTGTCCACACTGCAGAGCTATTTCAGGATAGCTCTAGTATCTCGAAATAGCTATTCCACGTTTTTAAAATGCGCCCATTATTTTGAAATATATTTTGAAATAATGGGCGTGCTATTCCAGCATCTCTGTAATCCTCGTTCCATGAGGGTTAAGGGATTTGTTGAAATAGCACTTTATTTATTAGTGCCAAATTTCACTATCTTGAAATAGCTTATTTTGAGGTAAGGGTGCTGTGTAGACACACCCTTTGGATCTTCAAATAATTCAAGCCTGAAGTATCTATTTTAAAAAGTCCCCAAAGAATCTATGATCTGCTTGGAAAGCTCATCATCTTAGTTAATTTGTCTAAAACTATAGCTAGTACTGACTACAAAACTAAGTGGCAACAATTGAAGAATAGCTTTTAATATAAGGTAGGGATCAAAAGAAATCTAGTTTCCCTTTCTTGGTAAACTCTAAGGCAAACTCCTTGTCTTCCTTTACAGGTAGGTAAATAGGTCTGAGTTTTTAATTCTTGCTCCTAAAAAGCAACCGATTCTGTGCTATTTACAAAAAAATAAATAAACTCCTTTATCGAGTATCTCTGTATTTCCCACAGGTGCAACCAGCCCTCCTCACCCCCACCCCCACCCCCCGTTTTAGAGGGGCAGCTTTCCAAATGTGTCCCAAATGTACAGGAAATTCTGGGTAGGTTTAACTGGAGGTTTAAACAGCAGTTACGTTTTTGAGGCTGCGCTGCTTGTTGGAGGGAAAGGCTTGGGGAAAGTTTTCTTCCAGCCCAGACTTAGCTACACCCTGGCTTTGGTGCCAGGCTAAACAAGAGGGTCTCCTCCCCTCCCTTGCCCACTGCTCACGCTTAGTGCTAACCTCCAGCCCCGGAGGCCGAGGCAAAGAGGCTCTGCCCCCACAGCGCCCCCCGGAGCGCGGGGCAGGGGCAGCTTGCGGGGCGCCCCCCTCCGGGGCTCTCGCCCTAGCACAGTCCCGGGGCGGCCACTCACCTGCCCCCCTCCATTGAGCTTGTTGGTGAGTTTGACTTTGCTGAAGGAAACCGGCGCCTTCATCCAGTGCGCGCCGAAGTTGGGCGAGTCCGGGTGAATGTAGACGCAGCTCGGGGCCTGCGGCTCGGGTTTGCCCCCGGGCACCCACTCGCCGTTCACGTACTTCCAGCGGTGGTTGTCGGCGGCCACGAAGTCCAGCAGGAAGGAGTACATGGCGTTGGGGTCCAGGCCGGACACGCTCACCTTCAGCACCGGGAACATGCGCCTGGGGGAGAGAGCAGGGCCAGGGAGAGGTGCAGTGTCCGGGGGAAAGTGCTCCGGGGCAGCCGGGCCGGGGAGCGGAGCGGGAGGGCAGGCTGGGGAGATCCTGGGGCCGCGGGCAGAGGAGCCCTGAGCCCCGCTCCGCTATTTCCCAGGATCTTCCGGGCAGCCGCGTTAGCGTCTCGCCTGCCTCTCCCCGCCAGGCCTGGCCCTTGACCTTTCTCTGTCTAGGCCCGGGGCAACGA